AGTTATTACCGGACATACAGTATCCAACATTAAAAATAAATTTTAATAAAAAAAGTATTTTAGAAGTTAAATATAACCGCCATGATGTAGTATGCCAGGAAGCGAAAGAGGAACAAAAAAATGAAATTAAAGTAAATTTATTTATTTTATACAGGAATAGGAAAAGACTCAGTTACTTCTGAAATCTACGAAAGTTTATAAAACTAATTTCAAAATTCCCCCATACCTTCTGCAATATGTTGAATATCCGAAGGAACAAAAACAAAACAAGAATTAAAATTCTCTTTATTTTTAAGATACTAAATTCCCCAACTGTCACCATAACTGTCAAAGACCAAAAACTAATAAACTCTATTTTACCAATTATGGAAGCCAAAAAACGTATTATGCATGCATTCAATGATTTGGATGATATATTCCTTAATGGCCCGATTTTGTTTGAAGAAATAATTTCATCTAATTTTAATATTTTTCGTTTAACTGGGAATTTCTCGGTAAATTTAATTTGATTTTTAATTAAAATTTTGGTTTAAAGCTAAATCCAAGTCCAATACCTTTTGATGAATTAAATACTTGGGAATATTCATTTCAACGTGAAGGATCATTTAATAGTAGATGTCAAAAATGCTTTTTAGTGGACAGACTTTTGTGTTTTGGTATAGCTAAATCTATGCCTGTTTTTGAAAAATTGACTTTATCTGATCAGGTGTTTTATGTTCATTTATTTTTGACTCTAGTTAGCGTAGAAGCGGATTTTTATTGTAATCGGGTTGATGAATAGGATATCTAAAAATTTATTGAAAATATGCAAAAATTTTGAAATAATTTACATAAAATGTGGATATGGTTAAGGGGTTTTCTTATCAAAATAGGACGGATATGAGATATACGTCTATATATCCAGAGATATCTTTACTTCATTTTTTCGTTTTCCTTCGCCTAACCTCTGGTTTTATACCTCGATTTGTTGTGAAGTTTTAAAGCTTATTTTTAAATAATAGATTGCACATCTAAGCCAGATTTGGCAATTGTTTCGTACATTTACAAACACCTACCTAGCTTGGGAATTAGGCTCTGAAACTTGGAAACGTAAAGATAATATTATGCCTGCTCTTAGTTTTATGAAGAATCCTGTATTCTTAAATGATGATAAGTAAATATTTTTCTAATAATTTTACTAAAAATTTCATTAAAAATAAATTTTGATTTTCCATTTTTAGAATAATTAAATCGTCGGATTATGTATTTACAAAATCTGTTGCACATTTTAAACGTGCTTCATTAACTAAAGTTGAATTTGCTTTGTTAATAGCTATTATCCTTTCGAAATACGGTAGACACTTTAATTTAAACACGTAAGGCAGACTCAATAAAAACAAGCCTTAAAATGGCTCGGAAATATCGGCCCGACTCGAACAAGACTCGATAATACTTTTACCAGATTTGTGGAACATTAACACACATTTTCAAGCAGTCCGCAGCCGAAATCCGTGATATAAAGGTTAATCTGGGGAATAAGGTCATTTGAAGCTATGGCTTTAAGGGACATTATGATGGATTTAAGCGTCAAATATGACGAGGGATTTTAGAATTAGTGCGATTTTATTAAGGGATTTGGTGATTAATCCCCGATATTGCTTAAATCTTCCGTTATCATTTCAACTTCCCGATATCACTTCATATCTCTTTAATCCCTCCAATTACAATATATGTATCAACTTTATTCTCTATATGTATCAACTTTATCTCCTAATTTGCCGATATCCCATCTCAATTCTCCGATATATCTCCTAATCCTCTTAATCCCTCCAAATCCACTTATATCCCTCTTAATCACTCGATATCTCTATAGCCCTTACTTCCCCTCCGAATCCATCAATATACCTTTTAATTAGTATTTAACCATTCCTCAAATTTAAATTAATTTGTCTATTTTGAAAATTTTAGTCAAGTTGCCCATTTTGAGAAAAACGAATATATCCGCGGATATGAGTCAAAAGTTGTACGGATATAAGTGGATACGGATATCAAAATCCGTGTCCATTTCCAAGTCTGAAATAAACTTTAATTTTTAAACAAAAGGTGCTGAAGGCATGTCTGTTGAAGGAAAAGACTTACTTTATGACGAATCTGCTAAATACACAAATATTTTACTTCGATATAATCAACGAAGATTAGGTTTAATTGAAGGGGCTCAAAGATTGGCTGAATGTAGTCGACTAATTAATCTGAGTATTGAAAATGAATATAATTTTCGGTCACTGGTCTCTAATGAAATTAAATATTTTTCAATAAGTACTAATTACTCAAAATGTTCAAACTTTTACGACAAAATTTTTACAAAGAAGTGATTAAAAAGAACAATTTTTATAAAAATGTACTATCTTTTACTTCTTTATTTTGTTCAAGAATTATTTTTTTAATTTAAAATTATTCGACATTGGATATATTCGGTTGTAACATATTTAGTTTCGTTTTTTATTAAAAGTTGCGGGGTCTGAATTTTTATGAATTTGTAGTCTATGATCATGAATTTTTGTACAAATATTAATTAGACTGTCCTCTAACAGCCTCTAAAATTTTAAAATTTTTTGTTAAGCATATTAAGAGTTATGGTCGACTTTTAGGAAGGAAAAAGGAGTGGGTTATACGAACCAAACTATTACCCTTTTGCCTAAAGGCTGTATGGCTTACTTGGAGTTTTTTAATTTTTATTTAAATAAAATTAATTTTTTTCAAAAAAATGCTGAAGACTTATCTGCTGAAGAAAAAGAATTATTTTTAAATGAATCTATTTAATTTACAAAAGTTTTCAACGGCGATTCGGTTCAATTTAAGGGGGTAAAAGATTAGATGATTAATCGAAGTATTGAGAATGAATATATCGGTACTTTGTTCACATCCCACCCCTATTTGTGTCTCAGATTAATTTCCTTTCTATTTTTCGCTGCCTCGAAATGGTCAAATTTCCTTCATTATAAATGTTAATTTTTGTTGATAGTGATCAGATAATGATCAGATATTGAACCATCTCAGAGCGATACAATATCGATTAATGAGAAATGACTTCGAAAACTGGAATGAGTATATTTAATAATGATCACTATTTGCTCGTTAGGCCTAGAGCAAGCCATAAAATTATAAAATTGAAATTTTTTTAACATAAAATCCTCAAATGTTTGGTCCTCAAAGGTCAGATCCTAAAACGTCGTATCCTCAAAGGTCGCGTCCTCAAAAGTCTCCTCAAATTTCGGGTCTACAAAATTCATATCCTCAACAGAGGTGTTTCGAAACAAAAAAATCTTCGAAAATCGGAAATCGAAAGAAATCCAAAAATATCGAAATCGAAAATATTTTTCAAAATCTTCGAAATCGAAAGAAAAATAACCTCGAAAATCGAAAAACGAAAATCGAAAAAAAATTTTTTAATAAAAAATTTGAAAATTAATTTTTGTTATGTTAGGTCTCAAGTGGATCTCTCATCATGAGATCTTTGTGGATTAAGAGGGATAATGGAGGATTTGAGTAAAATCGCCTAATATAGTAAAGCAGAGCTAGGTCGCTTTACTCATGGGTGGGCGGTACCTGGCATAGGGTTCTGGCATGGTGAAGTTGTTGTTGTGTTTATTTATTTAAATAAAAATAAATAAAAAAAATTAAAACCCCAGGAAAAATTAGAACCCCAAGGATGCTTTCCAATTTTGTAGGAAATTTACTCCTTATTAACTTTTAAAAGTCGAAATAAATTTATAAATAGTGTGTATTAATGGAGGTTAATAGAAAATATGGAAGAAATGAAGTAAAAAATAAAATGGAAAAATAAGAATAAGAGTAATAAAGGGTAAAATTGTAGTTTATTTAACTAGTCCAGACACAGAATCAACCAATAAGAGTAACATTTCCTGATCAAAATAGGGGAGAAAAAATATGTAGATATTTTTTAATAAAATTATTCATTTTTTAATCACTTCTTTCCAAAAATTTTGTCATAAAGTTTGAACATCTAAAGAAATTTAGATCCATTGAAAAATATTTAAGTTGATGAGAGACCATTGAACGAAAAGTATATTCATTTTCAATACTTAGATTAATTAATTGACAACATTCAGCCAATCTTTGAGCCCCTTCAAGTAGACCTAATCTTCGTTGATTATATCGAAGTAAAATATTTGTGTATTTAGCAGATTCGTCATAAAGTAAGTCCTTTCCTTCGGGAGACAAGCCTTCAGCACCTATTTTTTAAAAAAAATTAAAATTTATTTAATTAAAAATATAAAAAATAGCGAATGATATGATGTCCCTTAATAAAATCGCACTGTATCCTAAAATCCCTCGTCCGAGTCGGTCCATTTTGGCAACGCTATTTTTAAATAACCATTCATTGTTCATTAAAAAGCCACAACACCATAATTTAAATTAAAGTGTTTACCCGATTTCGTAAGGATAATAGCTATTAACAAAGCAAATTCAACTTTTGTTAATGAAGCACGTTTAAAATGGGCAACAGATTTTGTAAATAAAATATCTGACCATTTAATTATTCTAAAAATGGAAAATCAAAAAGAAATATTTTTTGAAATTTATATTAAGATTATTAGAAAAATAATTACTTAGCATCATTTAAGGATACAGGATTCATCTTAACACTAAGAGCAGGCATAAAATTATCTTTACGTTTCCAAGTTTCAGAGCCTAATTCCCAAGCTAGGTAGGTGTTTGTAAATGTACCAAACAAATGACAAATCTGCCTTAGATGTGCAATCTATTATTTAAAAACAATCGTTAAAACTTGACAGCAATCGAGGTCTAAAACCAGAATGTTCCTCCATCACACGGCTCATAAAAATATCGGTTCAGTATCTAGACCTTAGATCTCCCGTTATCCCTCAAAATCCCCCGATATTCCCGGTATCAATTCATTACTACAGCTAACCCTTGATCCTCCACTATCTCCCCAGTTCTACACAAACTATAGTCAAAAATAAATGAACATAAAACACCTGATCAGATAAAGTCAATTTCTCAAAAACAGGCATAGATTTAGCTATACCAACGCACAAAAGTCTGTCAACTAAAATGCATTTTTGAACTCTACTAATACATAATCCTTCATGTTGTACTGAAAATTCACAACTATTTAATTCATCAAAAAACATTGTACTTGGATTTGGCTTTAAACCAAAATTAATTTTTATTAAAATTTAAATCAAAATTTACCGAAAAAGTTTCAGTTAAACGAAAAATATTAAAATTAGATGAAATTATTTCTTCAAACAAAATCGGGCCATTAAGGAATATATCATCCAAATCATTAAATGCATGCATAATACGTTTTTTGGCTTCAATAATTGGTAAAATTGAGTTTACCAAGTTTTGGTCTGTGATGGTTATGTCGACAGTTGGGGAATTTTGTATCTAAAAATAGAGAGGATGTTTTATCCCTTCGGGTATTCAACATATTTCAGGAGGTATGGAGTAGTGTTGGTCACGGTACCGTATTACGGCGGTATTTTTTGGTAATACCGCCGATATCAAAACCCGTTTATCTTATCTGTTTATGGACCAAATTATTATTTGCTATCAGAAAAATTCTTAGAGTATCAGCAATCCACGAAAATCAGAATACTTTACTAATCGAAAAAATTTCAAATAAAATTTTAAAGTATCCCCTTTCCCTTTCCAATTAAAAAATAAAGTTACGTTAATTTCAGCGTTTTGTTCTCTCATTGCTTCCCGGCATATATCGTGACGTAAATATCTAACATCTAAAATAATTTTTTTTGAATTTATTGTTGATATTTTAACTAGGGTAACATCCTGTGTGGTCGAGAGTAGTGTTATTCAAATGCGTTTTTCCGGTATCTGTATCGGTATTTCGGTAAAATACCGATACCGAAAAAATACCGATTTCTCACAAAATCGACCGGTACGATATTGGTATCGGTAATACCGAAAACAATACCGCGGCTATATCGTACCTTGAATAACACTAGTAGAGAGTGTCAAGGATTGGGGTATGTAGGGGGTCGGGGATGACTTTTTGGTCAACCGAACCAATATTTTCAGATAGCGAAGACTATAAACCGATCGGACTGTGTTTGGGGGACGGAGCGTTACCGTTATTTTGACAAACCCAATTTTTTCATTCCAACAGAAAGACATTTTTCAAGTCTACATTTTTTGCATTTTACCAAATTTGTTTGGGATTTTCCACCTTTATTCTCTTTCGAACATTTACATTTATATTTGCATTCTCCTTCATTTTCAATATAACGTCTTTTGAAAAGAAATTTTTCCAAATTAAACAAAATAAGAAATACCTGAAAAAAGCCCCACAAGCCCTACATGTACAAACTCCATAATGAAAACCAACATTTTCTGTTGACTCACAAACTTTGCATTTTTTAATAAAATTTCTTTGCATTTTTAAAATTAAATTGGTATTTTTTCTAATTAAAATAAAGTTGATAAATGCTTATTATCAAGCTTTTAAGGATATTTTTATAAAAATTGAAATAAACGGTTTAATTAAAAATATCGTTTATAGAAATTTTTCAGGCAAAATTAATTTTTATTTTAGTCGAACAAAAAAACACGGCTCTATTAGCTTTTAAAATAATTAAATATTAATTTTTTATATCCCATTAAATATAAAAAAATTTTTTAGCAAAATTGTTAGAATACTAAAATTTATAAAATTATATGGACGATTTTGGGGTATGCGAACGTGTTTAATATTCGTTTTGGTTCTTAAAATTATTAGCTGAATAATCAAATAAATTTTTTAAATAAAAATTGAATAGAGAAAGTTAACTTGAATGATTGGATTTAATCAATTTAGTTAACTTCAAAAATCCTCTCTCATCTTTCTGTGAATTAATATTTTAATAATAAAATTTTATTTAAAAAAATTTAAATTTATTCAAAACAGCTAATTAAACACGCAAAAATTTAAACAAAGGAAGTTTTTTATATTTTATATACCAACAATTTTGCCAACAATTTTTTTATATTTACTAAAATACATACATACATGTATAAAAAATTATAAAAGTATTTAGCATTAATTATTTTTAAATGTTACTAGATCTGTATCTCTTTTTGTTAAGTTAAAATACTTAGAAAATTATAAAAAAAATAGAAAAAACTTGGGTAGCACCCCGAGCCTTCAGGGTTTGAAGCAGAGCTGCGTCGAAATTTCGACTTTCGATTTTCGACATTTTTTTCTAAGCATTATCTTTTCTCTTAAGATTTTATTCCTGCGGCGACAAAAAAAAAAGAATTTGGCTTAAGGATCTTCCAAAATTCTCAAAATCTTCGCCTGCGAACAAAAAAGGGTTAAGAAAGATGGAGGGAAAAGAATAAGGGGTAAGAGAAGACTTTTTCGACGTTTTTTCCTTTCGATCTTCGATTTTCGAATTTTTTCATAAAATTCGATTTTTGATTTCGATATTTTCGGATTTCTTTCGATTTTCGAAGATTTTTTTTATTTCGACGCAGCTCTGCTCGTTATTTGTAAAAGTCGAAATGTATAGGTAAATAGTGTGTATGGACGGATGGAACTACGAAAGAAATTGAGTGGAAAATTTAAATGAAAAAAATAAAAATTAGAGCAAGGAAAAATAAAATTATAGTTTATGTAATTATTTCCCGCCACAGAATAAATTAAAATGGAGTTGGAATTGGCTCTGCTTTTCTATGCCAATATTGTGTGTGTTTGTAGCATTACTTCTATTAGCAATAAGAAAATGCTAGTTATCCCATAATATTATAGATTTTAAAAAATTATTTTTATATTTTATTAAAAATAAGATAAAACTGTTGGAAAAATTGTTAAAGAATATCGTTTTTAGAAAATTTTTTTAGGTAAAAATAATTTTTATTTTAACTTAAAAAAACACGGTTTTATTAGCTTGTAAATAATTAATGCTAAATATTATAATTATTTATATTTTATTAAATATAATTTTTTGGCAAAATTGTTAGAATACTAAAATTTAAAATATTATGAGAATAATTTAGGTGTTCGAACGTATTTAAAATACGTTTTGGTACGTAAAATTATCAGCTGAATTAACAAATAAATTTTCTAAACAAAAATCAGATAGCAGAAAGTTGACTTGAATGATTGGATTTAATCAATTTAGTTAACTTTGAAGCTCCTCCTTTCTTTTTGTGAATGAGTATGTTATTTCATAAATAAAATTTTATTTAAAAAAACTTAAATTAATTCAAAACAGCTAATTAAACACACAAAAATTTAAATGAAAAAGAAAAATTAATTTTTATTATCGTTAATCTAAAAATGGTTATTGCCATCAACGTGCATTTTAGCATCATGCCTGCATTCCACACTGAAAAATATTTTATTCAAAGAAAGGTGATTCTATTTTTGTTAATTTATTTGTAAATTAAGGGGGATTTGGTGAAGGATCCATCCCTATCACATGTGGAGGGATATGGATGATGCCTCAATATCACTCCACATCCCATGATATCGTCAGTAATCACCATAGATGTATTCGAACGTGTTTAATTTTAATTTGTCAGCTAAATAAACAAATATTTAAATAAAAATTTAAATGGATATTATGAGGGATATTCTGGTGTTAGTTGAGGAAAATTGGAAGAGGCTAATTATCTTAGAGAGATGGAGAGAGAGAAAGAGATTATTTGAGCGCGTAACGTTCTAAAAACTGAAAAAAATTTTTTATTATTTTATTGACTGATTTAATGTCATTAAGGTGTGAAGATGAGGAAGGGAGTTAACATCTTGGTAAAAGTGGGGTTGTTGTAAGAAATTGAATATTAGCTAAAATTCATTTAACCAACTAATTAAACACATAAAAAAGCAGAGATACATAATGATATTATGAAAAAATAAAAAAGAACTAGACCCATATCTTTACCCAGAGCCGAGATCCCAAAAATCAACGTAAACCGGGTGTAAGGGTATTTAAAAAATTTTTTCGACCCCTTATAGATTATTTTTAATTCTGATTTTGGGCTCATTCGAAAGACCATGAAATAGGCTACAAGATAGCAATAGTCTTATTCTTCAGAAAAATTCCATAGAGAGACACAAGACGATAATCTTCTGATGCAACAAAAAAAAAACGTCTAAATGCCTCATAAAATGCCCTCTAATGACTTATAATTATGTGGAGCAGTGTATTTAAAGGATAAATCAATAAATCGGGGTCTACATGTACAAACTCCATAATGGAAACAAACATTTTCTTTAGACTCACAAACTTTACAATTTTTAATGAAGTAATGAAGTTTCTTTGCATTTTTGAATGTTTTTCTGTTTTTTTCTAATTTTCTTAGTATTTTAACTCAACAAAAAATACAGTTCTAGTAACATTTAAAAATAATTAATGCTATTATTTTCATTAAATCCCCCGCAAAACCCCTCACCAAATCCCCCTTACAAATTAATTTCCAAATAAATTAACGAATATAGAACCTCTTTCTTTGAATAAAATATTTTTCAGTGTGGAATGAAGGCATGACGCTAGCTAAAATGCCCGATGATGGCAAATAACCATTTTCAGATTAATGATAATAAAAATAAATTTTCTTTTTCATTTAAATTTTTGTGTGTTTAATTAGCTGTTTTGAATTAATTTAAATTTTTTTAAATAAAATTTTATTTATGGAATGAAATACTCATTCATAGAAAGATGAAAGAGAAGCTTCTAAATTAACTAAATTGATTAAATCCAATCATTCAAGTTAACTTTCTTCTCTATTTAATTTTTGCTTAGAAAATTTATTTGTTAATTCAGCTGATAATTTTACGTACCAAAACGTATCTTAAATACGTTCGCATACTCCAAAATCGTCCATATAATTTTATAAATTTTAGTATTCTAACAATTTTGCCAAAAAAATATTTAATGAAATATAAATAATTAATAATATTTAATATTAATTGTTTTAAAAGCTAATAGAGCCGTGTTTCTTTTTTGTTAAGCTAAAATAAAAATTATTTTTGCCTGAAAAAAATTGTATGAACGATATTTTTTAATTAAACCGTTTATTTAAATTTTTATAAAAATATACTTAAAAGCCTGATAATAAGCATTTATCAACTTTATTTTAATTTAAAAAAATACCAATTTATTTTAAAAATGCAAAGAAATTTTATTAA